CGTACTACACTTAGGTAGTAGGTGGTAAGTTAAGTTAGTTAGTACCGACTTACGTTAGTACTAAACGGTAAAGTAGTACGTCTACTAGTATACTACGTACCTACTATATATATATATATATATATATATATATATATATGAGTAAACCTTACAATAGCTGGGCAGCTATAATGAATAGTAATTTAGGTGGAATGGGAGCCATTAGATCTTCATCATGTGGTTCAGAATGCATATCACTATATGAATTTTAATATTTTCTTTATAAATCGGATCGTAATGAAATTTTAGACCTATGTACTAATAAAATAGAGTGCACAATTAAAAACTATTTCTTATAATATAAAATGATTGAAATACCACTAAAATATGATGGGGGTAATTTGGTCATTTTAAATTATTGAAAATAATCTTTTTATATTTTTATATGGTGCGCAATAGTGTTAGGTATATGTACCCAAAATTTCATCTTAATCAAATTTATAAAAAATAAAAAATAAATAAAATAGTGATATGTATTTTGAACCACTCAATGAAGACCTGACGGCGGGGATTCTACTTATATTAGTATTCATTATAGCGGCCCAGCTATTGTTAGCTTTTCCCATATATATATATATATTGAATGCTCGCATGAGAGGATTGGTGGAGATGACATCAACACTCTAATTATGTCTTCTTATCTGCCAGCAATGGACATGGATCTTTTGGTTCATAACGTTTTATTAATTTCATGGAATGAGCTAATTTGAAGGGATCAAAATTGCATCAAGTTTCTAAACTTGCATGGGTTGGGCTTTAGCTCAAATCCTGTGATACGGCTCAATGTGTTCCAATGTCATGCATTGTTGGTTTTGTTCTCATTTGTAAAATACAAGCCAATTCATTGTTCTGCTTTGAAGATGAGGTAGTCAGCCTTGTTTGACATATTGCAGGTATGCCATGACTGGTCAGCTGACACAGAAGAGTGATGTGTATAGCTTTGGTGTCGTTCTTTTGGAGCTTCTTACGGGCCGGAAACCAGTGGACCACACGATGCCTCGAGGGCAACAGAGCCTTGTTACTTGGGTTTGATAGCATCTCGCTCTTTCATACTATTGTCGTGTAATTTTTTTTGTCGATAGTTACCTGTGACATATTCTGTATGGTACTCGCTGGGATCTCACCCGGCCATCCTGATCATGGATAGTGGAGATTAACAATCCCTGATGAATGTCCCTCATCAGGACCTGCAGCTAATATCCACTATCTGTCATCATGTACAGATCGAAGTTTCTTTTTCTTCCATTTTATGAAGTTGCATTAGTTACTATGAATTCTGAAGTTTTTCTACCATCAAAAAATAAATAAACAGCAGCAGCAATAATAGCATTACTAATTCTGAGGTATTTGGTATACCTATTTTTTATGACCAGGCAACTCCTAGACTGAGTGAGGACAAAGTTAAACAATGCGTGGATCCGAAGTTAAAGGGAGAGTACCCACCAAAAGGAGTTGCCAAGGTCTCTTCCTCTCCCTCTCTCTCCGTCCCTCTCTCTCATTCTCCCTCTCTCTCTGATATTTGATATCTTACATGACATTGTTACTTGCAGTTGGCTGCTGTGGCGGCATTATGCGTTCAATATGAGTCTGACTTCCGACCAAACATGAGCATTGTTGTCAAGGCATTGCAACCATTACTCACACCAAAGCCTCCTGTTGCAATTCCTGATCCCAGCTGAAAACAAACTCGAAAGGGCATGAAGAAAGAGAACTGGTCTGCTCATCACACGTGCATTTGAGTGTGAGGTTGTACCTGGGGTGATTTGGTTTCAAGGTTGCTTTGATTTGGTCTATTTCCATCACTCGAGAAATTAAAATTCGGGTTTGGGTGGTACCCGTGCCCTTGTTTTGGTGTTTATATAGGACTATATTCTTTCAAACTGTTTTTCTTCATTTTTTTCTGTTGATTGTTCATAGCTGTGACTTGAGTGTCTGATTTGGAATGATCACATTTGCTGTACTGTGTTAGTTGCTGACAATTGTTGCAGGTTACACGGGAAAAGAGAGATTGTTTTTTCTCTCCTTTTTGTTTTTTAGTAGCTGTGTTATTCCAACTTATGATTTAAATTTCTGGTCATGTATGCTTCATGTGCATGCGAGTGCTATATGCGCCACGGTGCATTTTATGCCACGGTTTGTCATCTGTAATGGAAATTCTCTTTATATTTTTTCAGAAACGATATTTATACCCCTATTTGTTGATGAATTTTGGGCCATTCATAGTATGTTTGGCTGCTGCACATGTTAGTGGACCACCATGTATGTGTTGATTTTTACTTTGAGATTTTATAATAAAGCTCCAATTTCTGCACATGGAGTTGTCTACCCTATAGATTAGGGGAAATTTGTCAATTTACCATGAGAGATGAACAATCTAATACTCTACGCATGTATTTGGATTTAATTTCAAAATTACCCATAAAACAACAGTCTTGAGTTGAATAATTACAATTTGCAGATGTTAAATACTTCATTTATAATAGGTATTTTTATAAAATTTCCCAAGATTATTTATACTTGGTGCAAGGTGGCAACCACCTCTAGCTATTAGATGTGAGCAGGGTGCATTGTAAAGTTTAAAACATTTGTTTACGACTCTTTTAAGTCTTTGGTTGCTAGATTTCACATCTAAGTGTTAAAAGTGATTGTGACTTTGTTGTATGAATAAATGGTATTATTCGCAAAACAAGAAAAGCTTGCTATTTTCTTGAGCCTTAGGTGTGCTTACCCTTAAAAAGAGTGAAATGTGGCATCAAAAGATATCAAATTTCTTACGATCACTTAAAAGGCTCGACAGTGTCGTTGATTTAGCATCCAAACAAGCTCTATACTGTTCTTGTCTCTTTAGATTGTTTGGAAACTGAATTGAGGATTCATTTGGTTTTTTTTTTTTTAATGGGATTATATACAATAAGATCATTTACTTTTAATACATAGAAGTCACAATTATTTATATCCATCCGATGTGTAATTTAATAGCCTGAGTGTGTTAGAAAGTTTGAGAAAATTTCTTTTGAATTTTGAGCTCAGTGAATGGAATAAATGCATCTACTCATCCAATGGTTAAGATTAATTGTGATTACCTTGTACCAAAGATAAATGTTTCATTGTATACTTTCTTTTTTTTTAGTTGAATATAGATTGGTAATGAAATGTCATTTATGAAGAAATAAGGGTTGTGGGATGGACTATTATGGAATGTGATATGTTTGGATTGTGCGGGAGTGACTTCATGTAGCCATGCCATTGTAATATAATGAAATTACAATTCTAGATAACTATATTTGTAGTATTTATATGGCCTCAAAACTTGCGTACGCCTTTTCTTCATCTCAATCATCAATCCCTAAAAACTAAAATTCAATTTGCACCATAAATATAGTCAAAATGAGTCATTTCCAACAATGAATCTAGACCATCTATTAGTGAATTTGAAGATTAAGACTTTAAGAAATTATCTATTTTTGAAAGCCTAACCATAATTTCACTAATCTAATTGCTCAAATCTGGTGATCCAAATATGCTAGACGAGATGGTGGAGGAGTAGGAAGACGATGGTGGGCTTGGAAAGAAGGAATTTGTGCCTTGTCTATCTCTAGATCAGGCTGAGGTAAGGCAATCAAGAAGGTAGGTTGTGTTATGGTAGGTTCTTTCTCTCCTCCCTCCAATGATCTGTTCGGGTTGGGAGATTGGGCCAGTCGTTTTTGGGGGTTATCTTACACTCCTGGGGTGAAATGGATGGGTCATAATAAATTTTTCTTTTGTTTGCACTCGATTCTTGATGTGAAAAGGTGCTAAGAGTTCGTGGTAGAACATTGTCTTTAGGTTCTTGGAAAGTTCGGATCATGCTTGGCTTGTTCCAAAATCTCCCTTTTGGGTAAAGTTTTGGGGTGATGTGATGAGCTTTTGGTTGATCAGCTGGCTGGTTCGATGGGTTGTGCTGTTGGTAAACTCCCTATTACCATCCCAATTTTAGACTCGAGACTTTCTAGATCGGTGTGGGATCCTATGTTGAAGAGAGTTAACACCAAATTGGATTTATGGAAATCTAAGTTTCTTTCTCCAAGAGGTCGGGTTACTTTGATCAATTCGACTTTAGTTAATATGCCGATGTATTTAATGTCTCTTTTGCATATGCCTGCACCCATTGTCAAAGAAATTAAGAGTCTTATAGGCAACTTTTTGTGGGGTTCTTTTGAAGGTAATCGCAAATATCACTTGGTTGGTTGGGATAAGGCTTACACAACGAAAAAAGAAGGGGGACTGGGGATTCAAAAGATCAAGTTGGTGAACCAAGCAATCCTTTCTAAGTGGTGGTGGAGATCTATTGCGGAAGGAGAGCATTTGTGGAAAGATGTTCTTATTGACAAATATGGAGTGGATCATGCGGGGTTTATTGGAAGAGGAGGAGGAGGTAGTGGACAATCACAAATTTGGAAGGGGATTCTTGCTAATGAGGAAGTGGTTGTCAGAAATGTGAGGTGGGACGTGGATAGGGGTAACTTGATTGATTTTTGGAATCATAAATGGTTAGGACAAAGCCTGTTGAAAATTCATCGAGATTTATTCGAAAAAGCCTCTAATAGTGTATTCTTGGTTCCCAAATAGGATTGCTTGCGATATTCAATTCATTTACAATAGAATTCTGGATAGCATGATAAATTAATTTTGCAATCATACGACTTATTTAGAATTCGTATATGTATATAGGAATCATGATGATGAGGTGGTATGGGAACTAAATAATAATGGGGACTTTTCGGTTAATTCAATGTATTCTCTTCTTTTCCATGATAGATTGAGATGGGAATAGCCTAATCTTACAATTATTTGGAAATGGCGTGTTCCTCAGAAAGTTTAATTCTTCATGTGGACTTTATCTCAGAATAAGGTGTTGAAGGTGGATACTTTGAGAAGGAGAGGTAAAATACTTGTTAATTGCTACATCCTATGTAAGGAGGATGAGGAGATAGGTGATCATTTATTCCTCCACTGTAGCTTTATTGAGATTATCTAGAGATGGGCTTTTCAGTTAGTTGGTTTCTTGTTACCTCTACCTAAAAGGCATACATCTTTTATTGATCAACTCTCTATTCCCTCTACACCGAAGTTAGGTACCACTATTTGGCAGATTTTCAAGGCTTCAATTCTTTGGGAGGTGTGGCTTAAGAGGAATAGATGTATTTTTTAAGGAAGGTGCTTAAAGATAGCTCGAGTTCAAGTAAAGGTGATTCAAAATGTGTATATATGGTTATCTAATTCGAAAGAAGGCTGTGGTGTTTCCAAAATTGATGGTCTCCTTAACCTCGGCAACCTTATGCATCTTCAGGTTCATTGGCTATGTTGCATAGAGTGTGGTCCCCTCTTGGTGATGGATGTGTGAAGCTGAACTTTGATGGCAGTTCTTTCGGGAACTCAAGACCGACGGGCTGTAGTGGGGTTATAAGAAATTCATTGGGTGTGGAGATTTTATTCTACTATTGTCCTTGTGGGACAGCCACAGCCAATCAGACTGAAATGATGGCAGTTTTACAGGGGATAAAGCTGCTAAAAGAGAGATGCCGAAGTCTTGGATGGGTGGTTGAAGGGGATTCTCTCAATGTTATCAATTGGTGCTCTGGATTAAGTAAACCTCCTTTGAACTTAAGAAAATTTTGGCTGCAAGTTCAGGATTTATGTTCGAATCACATGTTCTCTTTCAACCATATGTGCAGGGAGGCGAATGAGAGAGCTTATTCGTTACCTAAAGAAGGGGTCTTGGCTGGTAGTGTTTTTATTTCTTCTGTTTTCGTGTAACTATGTAACCTCTATTGGTTATCGATAAAGATTTGTGCGCTTGTCAAAAAAAAAAAAACAGAAACCTAATTTCGATCTACATCCCATTCGTTTGGTCCTTATCAAACCATGTTCAAGTTTAGAATATTTGTTTTTTTGAGGCACATATAGAGTTATATTTGACTTTTTTTTCTTTGATGTTTTTTCCTTAGGTTCTAGAGGTTACATTTCTAAACTTTAGGTCGAAAAACAATCTCTCATACAAGACCGAGGAGATCAAATGTGCAGTGTGTGCCTATGGGAGTAGCAAAACTTTTCACGTATCTAAAATAATCAGAGATATCTCTTTAAGGATGCAATTTCTACCGGATGGCTTTATGAAACAAGATAAAGCCCCCACCTCAAATCCTCATGTAGAAATTATTTTCCGCAAAGGAAATTTTCATGTAGAAATTATTTTCTGCAAGGGAAATTTTCATGATGGATTTAAAATCTAATTTTATCAACGACAATAAAAATGTAAAACTCAAATAATGGAACAAATCTTGTGGATCTATGAATATTTATTTTTAGGGTGAAATTGATAGTCTAGATAATTTGTTACAATCTATACTATCTTTGATGCTTAAAATCTTAATTTTTTTTTTTCACAAGCATAATGTTCATTCCGAGATGATCGATATAAAAGTTTTTCAATGCTTGAACTGTAATTTTTTATGAGTTATGAAGTGAGGTTTTATTTATTTTAATAGAGTTGCAGCTTTATCAAACTATTTTCCATTTCTATAAGGCCTAGGCCCTATTTAAAACAATAAAACCTCACATCCAAATTCCTATGATGCCTTAAAAAAATATTTCTAGCACTTATTATAAAATTTGTAGCTAAAAATTTGGTACTTGACCTATGAAAATAAACAGTTTGTGTTATAATATAAATTGTTTTTAGGATTTAAAATCTTAATTTTTTCGTAAATCATAATTAATCGAGATCAAGATGATCGATTTCAAAGTTTTTCAAACCTATAATTTTGGATTTATTATTTATCAAGCTTTCGCCTTCATCGTTATCATCAAAATATTTTTCGACTAAAATGAAGTGAGCTATACGAATACTGATATGCCATTATGCTCAATTAAGCCACACCCACGCTAATACTATAAGTCTTATTTTAAGGTTTTTCTTTTTCTTGAACGCTGCTTATTTGCTTATTAAAGATTAGCGTTTTTAAGGGACGCTCTCGCTGCCCTCACAACAAGTTTTTGTTTAAATTTTCATTTCTCCTACCTCCCGCTTTCATCAATCACTGCAATTTTTAATCTGAATTTCCTTGTCTGCAATTTTTCAATTAATGGGCACTCAGGATGACAAGGAACATCAAACCCTCACCGCCATTACCATCGCCAACACCAACAGTAACCAATCCTCGTCCTCTTCTTCTTTACTGAATAAGAAAGAGGAGGAGTTTAACATTTCGTTAGGGTTTCAAAGTGGTTGCGATGACGGAAATTTTAACAATAGAGAGATTCGTTGTGATGGCAGTGATGCAGATGTTATTGATCGAGAGAAGTGTTGCGATGATGATATTCATTTTTGTTTTCACGGCGGCGACGGTAGTTCCAGGAAAAAATACAATAGGGATGAGATGCAGCCCTTACAGTTTGCAAACAAGCAGTGGCAAATGGTTAGGTGGATTGAGATTTATACGGCCATTCCGGCCATTGTCAAAACCGAGCTTCATGGCCTTTCGGCGGATGCTTCGTCGGTGTCTGATCAGGGCAAGGGCAGGCGCCGCGATAAGCCCAAGAAGAAGAAACCTCATCTTCATGGCGATCATCTCCAACCTGGTAACAAACCCTTTCCTTCTCTCACCCACCCCTTCTCTCTCTTTCTTCTTCCAATGACTTTGGTGAATTCTTCTTGTGGTTTGATTAGCTCTCTCTCTCTCTCTC